GAGTAATCAATAGATATTGAATAATAATAATAGAAATATTAAAAAATATTAACTTTTTTCTTTTCCAGGGACAATATATATGTAGTTATTGTAAATGGGTACTGAAAAATGACCAAATTACATTCATGTTTGAATATTTATGACAAAGAAGAACAAATCTTAGTAGTAGATCAAAATAGACATATTTCCTTACGAGGTACAGTATATTTCAGTTTTATTTTTCTTATAATTATTAATTTAATGAAAAATATAATAATACGTATATATGTATTGATGTAAAATATATAATATCATTTAGAGTATTTAGACATGAAAACTATGAATTAGATAAAGAAAATGATAGAGAAAACTATACAGAAAGAATAGAAAATGAGGTGGCGAAAGAGATGAATAGTAATAATGAGTCCCATTCAATAAATAAACAAGCAATTGATGAAGATTTAATAAATGCTGTCCAAAAAAGACCTGCATTATATGACTATCGAATGCCCTTAAAAGAACGAAGTCGACAAAATAATGATTTATGGAAAAAAGTGTCTGAAGATTTAAATGGTAAAATTTTTATTTAATATATTTATTCAAGATGATCTACACTTATAGTTAATTGTACAGTTTTCCGCAACTCGCCGGTTTGCATAAAGGAGGCACGGTAGTGTCGCTGCGCTTGGCTTTAGCGCCGAGACACTAACGTGTCTCCACGCTTTAAAAGAAACTCCACAATTTAAAAGAAAAATATATAACAAAATTTCTTGTATATCATGAATTCATATTTCAGGAATATATACACCAATAGAAGCAGAAAAAAGATGGAATTATCTAAAAGATCGCTATCGAAAGTCAGTAAATAGTTACAAAATAATTCAGGAATCTTCTCTCTCTCTCAAAGAAGCGGTGCAGCTGGTATTCCTAAAAATCAATTAATTAAACTATCATTTAAGCATCATCATTTAATGAGTTTCCTAAATGATATTTTTCAGCATCGTGCGTAAGTTATCTTTAAATTTTCATTGGTATTTTCTGAGTGATAATTCATATTAATTCGTATTAATTATTACCATTAATTGTAGATCGATTTCTTCTATAAGAATGGTTGATGAATCATCTATATCGAGAGTAATAGAGAATGAAGATTCATTGGATAAACTAGTAAATGAAAAAAATAATGAAAATTAATTTACACCGTCACCTGTATCTTCTGACTTTTCATATAGAAGCACTCCATCATTGGAAAGAAAAAGTGATTTTGTTTAGTTATTATTTTCTAAGAAGGAAGGAAAGATCATATGTGTAAAATGAGCTAAAAATTAGGTTAAAATTAAATAATCTAAATATAATAATCTAAATAATCTAAAACTAAATAAAACTAAATATATTGTATTTGGTAAATGATTCTTTAGTTTATACCTAAATTTTGACTCATTCATTTCATATCATTTTTTTTCATTCTATTGTTTAGTAAAACAAACGGAATTTATCATTAGTTTAATTATTTTCTATTTGTAATTATAAATGACAATAACAAATATATTCTTTACAGAAAGAAAAACTTCAGGAAATTACGATGAATATGATAAAATGTTTTTAGAGGTATTAAAAACACTTTCACAGCCTAATCCAATTGATTGATGCGTTTAGCAAAGGGAATGCGCAAACTTTCCTATAAAGAAAGATCGAAGTTGGAACTGGAATTTTTTACCAAGTTACATGAAATAGAAGAG